AGCTATGGTTCACGAAGCAGAGAATATTAGGGTTGGAGTGGGTCACCAGTGCCATTTGGGGGACTGGTCGTCGCCGGTGCCGTCTAGGGGACTGGTTGCCGGTGAGGGTGGGTTCAGTGAAGGAGGACGGCTAAGTGCGAGGCTGAGTGATTGTGCTTCAATGTATAACTAGCAACGGGCGGGAATAAAGTGAAATTTCAATTTTTTTTTTAATCTCAGCCGTTGGATGTGCAACGGCTGATCTCAGCCGTTGCAAGGAGGCTTGCAAGAATAGTTTGCAAGGAGAGGATCTGCACTCATATTACATTGATCTCCCTAAGATTTGAAAACTAAATAAATGAAAAATCTCATAATTTTGACATAATTACATTGAGCTCCTTTAATATTGTAATTCATATAATATTTAATCATCTTTTCGACAAAAATTTAACTTGTATTTTATCTTGTATATTTTTGTGTATTCATACCATCTGCATTAGTTTTAATCTCTTTATCCTTACTAAAAGAGAGGACAGTTAGTCTTTTTATCCTTACTAAAAGAGAGGACAATGCAATTATATTAAAATTGGAGTCTGTTGTATTTTTTCAAATCTCAATGGAGGTTAGTGTCATTTAACCTTTTTTTTTTTTAAAAAAAAAAGGAAGAAAAAAAATTTACTAAAATCTTATGCCCTGTAATTTACTTGACAATATTATCAAAAGAGTAATATTAGAGCATCCCCAACAGATGTCTTAAAATAGCTTTTTGTTATTATAAATGGTTGATTCTTCAAAAATTCAACCCCAGCAAATCCCTTATATAATTCCTTAAATTTAGGATTGCTACTGTGACTCTCTATTTGTAGGGAGTCATTGTAGCTCCTTCATATCTAATAAATTCTTATTTTATTTCATTGAAGGTGCGAACATAGTAGCCTAGATAAGGAGCCGGATGTCGAGGGGTTGACTGGCGACATCCGAGCAGATGACCTCACTTCTGTTTAAGAGAGAGCCTTTGTTCCAGTGAAACCCATAGCCCATAGTAAGGACTAGACATGAACAATAAGGGTAGAAGACTCAAGAATTGAATTGAAGGAAGGCTAGGGAGGGTTGAGAAGGTTCTGAATTGAACATAGTGGTGTTGTGGTGGTGGTGGTGAGAGGAGAGAGTTGGGGAGTGTAACATTATAGGTCTTTTGTGGGGTGTTGTAGAGAAAGGGTTTTGCTTGTTGATGGGTTGTTGGAATTGGGTTCATTCTCAAATTGGGGTTTGCTTGGAACTTTGATGGGTTGGTTTGGATTGGATTGTTGAATGGTTTTGGGTTTGAATTTGGAGGTGTTTTTGGTGGATTGAGTTGAAATCAGAAGAGAGGAGACTGGTTTGTTTTCTAATCTCAAGTTTAGACAACTTCTGATGCATTTTCATACAAAGAAAATGAATTTCTATTCTTCTTCCTCTACTTAATTTTCTGTGTATGTATATTGTATAAATAAGTGTTGTGTATATATAGGTTTGTGTGTGATTATAGTGTTTTTGATATTTCTGGTATATACAGGCTTATGTGTGATTATGAATTTCTATTCTTCTTCCTTTACTTAATTTTCTGGTATATTGTATACATAAATATTGTGTGTATAAACTAACACTTTCTTTTTCATTATTTTATTATTAAAATTTAAAAGCAATTGAAAAGATTATTTTAGTAGAATAGAGAAAGAATGAAAAGTTTGATGGAGAAAGTAAATGAAAAAGTAATTTCTAAAATAGGAAATGAATTTTTTAATAATATTTTAGGGTAAAATTTAAATAAATTGCTGGAGATGCTCTTATGCGTATCAAAAGTTTTATCAAATCACTCACATGGGTGTGAGACCCACTCATATGAGTGATTTTGTAGACATTCCGTAATTCATTTAGGGTTATTTTAGGTATAATTTATTTTTTGATTTTTTTTTATTTATTACAAAAGGATGTAAAAAAAATAATGTGATAGAAATAACATAATAAACTTATACACAACTTATTTGGATATAGATAAATATTAGGAGTGAGCAACAGATATTTCGATCCATCCAAACCGACTGAATTGAATCGATCCGTCGCATTTTGGACGGATGCGTTATGACGAACAGACGGTTGCAGATTGATTTTTTTCAATCCGCCTAATTTTAGACGAATAATGGATTTAAAGTTCTTTCGGCCGCAACTTAACCGCCAAACCACGAGTACCCTAGCAATTTGTAAAACTTTATATTTTCAATTTGTTTAGATATTCTGTTTGTATTTTCAATTGAAAAAGAGTTTAGATATTCTGTTGTGTTTTCAATTTGGAAATTCTTTTATCAAATGTCAAGTGTTGATATTTGGTATTTTTGTGTAGAAAATATAAGGTTAATTTTGTCATTTAGAAAAAAAATCAAATTAAGCCTCTGTTTGCAAGTTAGTTTTCAGGCTTTTTTGGCTATTTTAGCCACAAAAAAACAAAATAGGCTATTTTAGCCATAACAAACAAAACATCACATCCAACCTATAATCATTACATTCTTCTCTCACAAAAAAAGTCAAAAAAGCCAAAAAGCCAAAAAGCTCTTCCCAAACCAAGCTTTTTAGCCCAGGCTAAAATAGCCAAAAAAGCCAAAAAGCCAAAAAGCCAACCTACTTCCCAAACCAAGCCTAAATAGTTTTTGAATAAAAAAAAATAATGAAATAATTTTGATAATGAATAATTTTCTTATATGTATTTATTAGTAATATTTAATAATTTACTAAATAATCTTTTAATTATATTGAGTTAGATTGTTATAAAAAAAAATATTGATAAGTTATAGTATGTTTAAAATTTATAAAAATATAAATTATTAAACTAATTCGTACAAATTAAAATTTTTTTGATCGCAACTGAACGGGATAATAAGTTCAGATTTGTCTGCCCACCCTGTCATGTCCTTGGCTTCTAGAACTAAGAAGATATAGATAAGGACAGAATAACTACTGCCTAAATTTCTTCAAGATGAATGTAACATGTTTTTTTACTTTCTCTTGAGTTGCGGACCAAAAAACAAATGAATAAAATTATACATATTAATTGATATATTATGAAAAATGTTTGAGGGTCATAATTTTTGTGATTTAAATGGCTTAAAATTATCAAAACGACGTCGTTTTGACAATTTTGAAGTTGTTTTGTATTCAAAACGACGTCGTTTTAACAATTTCGAGCCATTTGAACCACAAAAATTGTGACCCTCAATTATTGCTGTATTAATAAATAATATGATATAATTTTAAAAATTTTAAACTTCTATAATGAATAAGATTGTCTCCATTTGACATAAAGGGCCTGGATTAATTTAACTATAAAAAAATAAAATAAGTTAAAAAGTCAATAAGATAAAATGTTACCTCTATACCATAAAAATTTATTTTTTTTGTCACAAAATTTTAAAAAATAAAATAAAAACTCATCACAAAGGAGATTTTTTAGCCGTAGAATAAAATAATTAAAAAGTCAATTCACATTACAAGTGAAGATATAATTTTAAAATGATAACATTATAATATATGTTAATATATTAATTAATATACTAATCAATATGTACAATTTTACAAAAAAAAAAAAAAAAAAAAAACAATTCCAGGCATCTTTCACAAATTCTTTGTTGTGCGCGGATTTTCTGTGCTATCATGTGGTTCAATGTATCAGGTTTTTAGGAATTGTTTCACATTTTCTTCTCATTTTTCATTTGGTTCCCTCCACTTTTTTTCCCTCTCTCTACACTTTTCCTGAGTGCATAGTGTTAGAAATTTGAAGCTATTCAAAACAAAATTAATTGACAAAGGATGGATGACTCCATTTGGGAAGATTTATTCGGGTTTTTTTTGGTTATTTTAGTCACAAAAGATAAAATATGTTATTTTAGTCACAAAAAATAAAACATCACATCTAATCCATAATCATTACACTATTCTCTCATAAAAAAGTCAAAAAATCCTTCATAAACCAAGCTTTTTAGCCCATGCTAAAATAGTCAAAAAAGTCAAAAAGCCAACCCACTTCCCAAACGACACCAAACCAACTTTGAGTAGGTCATGAAAGACAAGTTTTTAACATTCCTTCACAAATATAACCTAATCGCATGTAGAAAATATAAAAAGAAGTCGTGCTATAGGCTTTGAATATTGAGGCACGAATTTGTCTCGAATTTATTTAACCGGTTGTTCGGCCGGTCGACTAGTGACAACAAATTTGCGCCATTCATGCCTGAAGCTGTCGAGATCTAAAACATTAGTGTATAAAAAGATGAGAGGTGAGAGAAATAGAAATAGAAGGGAGATAATGTGTAAAGAGGCCATTCAGAATCAATTAGAAGTGGTCTAATATTGATTTTTTTAACTTTTTAAAATCTAAAAAAGTTCATGTATTTGAGAAATGCTAAAAAAAGTTACTTTTAGTGAAAATTTTGACTTCTTTTTCTTTCTTTTTTTTTTAATTTTTTTTTAACACTTTCCAAACAGGTTTTATTTTATTTTATTGACTACTTAGCCAAAAAGAAGCTTTTTGAGCTGATCCCAAATATTTGGATCCAAGATGTAGAAATAGATTTATGAAGGGTAAAGAAAAAAAAAAAGAAAAAGAAAAAAGAAGAAGTTATTTTTGTATTACTTTTTTCTTTCTATTTCTTTTGCCTCACCAAAATCTTTACATAATAAATTCTTGATGATAGCCTTGTTTGGGAATATATTTTTTTAATAATTTTTAAATTTTTTAGTTAAATATAATGTAAAAAAAATAGTATGTTTGGAATAATTTTTTGATTTTTTATAAAAGGATATACAAAAAATAGAAAGAAATTTTTTTAAATTTTTTTTAATATAGATTGTTAACTTTTTGATTTTTTAAAATAATTTTTTTACTTTTAAATTTGAAAGTGATGTTGCCAAGTCTCCAACCCATAACATTGCTGAATTCCAAAACCAAACAAACCCCAAGCATGGCCTATAAATAAAGCCTCACATCCTTTAAAAAAAAACATAGAAAACAAAATGGAGAAAACAAAACAGAGACCTCATGTCATAGTCCTCACATATCCAGCTCAAGGCCACATCAACCCCCTCCTCCAATTTGCAAAACGCTTAGCTTCCAAAGGCCTAAAAGCCACACTAGCCACAACCCATTACACAGTCCCCTCCATCCACACAAAAACAATCTCCATCGAACCCATCTCCGATGGCTACGACCAAAGTGGCTACAACCAAGCTCCAAATCTACCAACCTACTTAGACTCATTCAAAACAGTTGGTTCAAAAACTCTTTCTGATCTCATTTTCAAGTACAAGGACTCAGACTCTCCGGTGACTTGTCTCGTATACGATTCATTGCTTCCATGGGGTCCTGAGGTGGCTAAAAAACATGGAATCTATGGAGCTGCGTTTTTGACAAACTCAGCATCGGTGTGTTCGATGTATTGGCAGATTGAGAAGGGTGTTTTGAGTCTTCCTGTTGGGGATGGAATGGTGCCTTTGGTGTTGCCTGGATTGATTCCTTTGGGATTCTGTGATATGCCTAGTTTTCTTGCTCAGCCTGTTGGGAGTCACTCTGCTTATCTTGAGGCTATCTTGGATAAGTTTTCTTGCTTGGAACTCAATGATTGGGTGTTTGTGAATTCATTTGAGGAGCTGGAGAGTGAGGTTAGTTTTTTTTTTTTTTTTCCTTGGTTTTCATGAATTTTTTGGTCAAATTAAAAAAAATAAATTTTTTTTAAAAATAAAAAAACCAAAAAAAAAAAAAAATAGTGTTTTGAAAAGTTTTTGCTTTAAATTACATAAATAAACAAAAGAATATTTATTTGTAAATTACCCAAATATTTTTATCACTAATTTCACTTTTAACTAATTTAGTTTTAATATTTTTAAAAAATAACTTTTTACTTACAAAACAATTACAACTACTTTTTTTATATAATTTATATGTTTGCTTTTATTTTTAGTAAATATGTTCTGTCTTTGATAAAAAAAAAAAATCAATTTTTTTTTAATTATAAATTTTAACTTTTTAAGTACATCTAAGAAATTAATTTTTTTGAATTAAAATCTGAAAACAAAAAACCAAAATAGAAAAAGACATTTTGATTTTTGATTTTTTGATTCCAAATTTTGGAAATATAAAGCTTTAAAAAGAAAAAAAAATTGTAATTTCAGACAAAAATGGGATTAATTGAAAAACAAATTGGATTGGGACTGAATTGCGTTTACATACGTTTGCGAAACTTAACTATATTAATTACGACTTCATTTACCCAATTTGTTTATTGTTTAGACTTCTGTGTGTAAATAATTATTTGTGAAACACAATTGATTGATCTAATATTGGTAAACACAAGATTTTGTCATATTGTTCTCGCAAATTGAATGATATATTCCCCAAACGAAAACGTTATATAAGTTCACTTTTTATATATTTTTTTTAAATTTAATGATATATAAATAAAATAATTGGTTTGATGATTAGTTAAGATAGAAGAAAGAGGTACCTTACATATTCTAATTATTTGTTAAAGGGGAGTGATTGAGAGCTCTAAGTAGAGCTGGCTCTACTGAGCTGGCAACCAATTAAAAAAAATAAAATAAAAAAAGACAAAACAAAAGTCACTAAAAAACAATTTAATGCTAGTTTAGAGGTGCTCTTTTAGAGCTCTAAAGCAATTTTGTTTGTTAAATCATTAAGTTTGAAAAATGAAATTAATTTTTAAACTTGAATAACGATGTGTTTTTCAAAATTATTCTTGTCATCAATTATGTTTTAACATAATAATAATAATTTTACACATATTAATAATCTTATTAAAAATCTTACTAAAAATACAAGAGATTAAATGTGATTGATTGTCTTAAATTTAAGGAGCAACTTGTTTCTAGTCTGGGATCGGACTGAACAGTGCTGTTGGATCCTTGGGGGTCCACTACGGGTACCATTTTGATAATCCGAACCGTTCAATGTGTAGAACTCGTCGAGCACTATACATTTTTAAAGAATCACGTTGATCGGATATCGATAGCTATGTGATCAAAACAGGTTTTTGTCAACCGTTAATTTATTCACCATCTATTTTTTTTTATACAAAACTGATTTGATCACATAGCTATCGATATCCGATCAACGTGATTTTTTACAAACATATAATACTCCTCGACAAGTTCTACACATTAAACGGTTCAGATTATCAAAATAGAACTCGTGATGGGCTCCCATGGGCCCAACAGTACCGTCCAGTCCAATCTTGGACTGGACACTAGCTAAATCCTAAATTTAAACATCCAATAATGTTTAGACATGTATGTTTTTAGTAAAATTGTTGGTAAGAGTTAACGTAAATATAAAATTCTTCAAAAAAAAAAAATGTGAAATCATATAATTATGGTTATTAAATTAAATTAAATTATTATTTTTTATTTTTTAAATTGAACCGAATTTCATTAAGGTAGTTCTTTGTTATGGGCCTACAAAGCTAGAGTCGATGGGTCCAAATTTTATACAAATTCGAGAGAATCCAGTTTCTATTGGATTTGAGAAGATAAATGAAACAACAATGATAGAGACCACTAATTTTGGAGCTCTAAAAAGACCACTAATGACATGGCACTCAATAAAAAAAGAAAAAAAATACAACACCAAGGCCAAAACATCAAATCATTCCTGGTGGGACCCACTGCCACATCATTAGTGATAACACTAATTAGTGCTCTCACTCATTTTCCTAAATGAAATGGAAAGCGAAAACATAGAAAACGGAAATGAAGGTAAAGACAAAAGGTATATTTGTTTATTTATTTTATTTTGTTGGGTTTGAAAAAGATAATATATATATATATATATATATTTCAAAAATAAAAATAAAAATTTAGTCACCCTTAAAAATTTATATATAAGTAATTTAATTTAGATCTCTTTTATTTTTATTTTTGAAAATCCAAACATAATATTAAGGAAATATAAACCTTATTGTGGACACTGTATTCTTCAATTGTTTGTTTTAGTAGCAAATCAGAATTTTAGGAAGTTGTGTGAGACAAGTGGAAACTGGAAAGCAAAACAAGAAGTTCAAAAGCACCCATCATTTTTATTTTTACGCAAATAATTTTCAAAATTTTGAAAATAATTTTTGATGTTTATTGGTATTAAAGTGGGTTGTTCTAAAAAGAATTTTTTTTTTTCCCTAAAACAGTTTCTAAAACAATTCCTCCCCACACAAACTTCCCGGAAAATGAAAACAGAAAAAACAACCAAAAAGTGCTACAACTGAAGAAGGATGGGGCGGAGTTTATAATTGCACACTTCTTTATTTTTCTATTATGGTATGTTTAGTTAAGGGATTTGAGGAGGGATTTGGAAAAAGAAATGGTAAAGGTAAATGAAATATGAATAAAACATGTCTATATTTCACCTAGTTTCACACACCTTTCTTTTCTTTTTCCAAATCCCTCTTTAAATCCCCCAACCAAACACAGTGTTAGAGTCTTACTAATAACAATCCTGTCTTTTAGAATCACAAAAGGTTAAAATATTTAAAATCTCAATACACTTTTCACACATCTCAAAATATTTACATATTTTTATTTTAATATGTTTACATATTTTACTTTTAATTAATGCTCTAAATCTTCCATGCATATATACTTAGTAATTTGTGCATTGCTCTGACCCTTTAAAAGCTAGCAAATGCCTTGTTGGGACACTGGCCAGTGGAGATGGTTGGTCCAATGGTGCCATCAATGTTCTTGGACCAACAAATAGAGGGAGACACAAATTATGGAGCCAGTCTCTGGAACCCAATTGGTGACCAATGCTTGGCATGGCTAGACACTAAACCACCCAAATCAGTGGTCTATGTGTCCTTTGGAAGCATGGCACAAATTTCAGCTGAGCAGGTTGAAGAAATAGCATGGGCCTTGAAAGGGGTCAACAAACCCTTCCTATGGGTACTGAAAGAGCCTGAACATGAAAAGTTGCCAACTGAGTTCTCAAACTCAACAAATCAGATGGGCTTAGTCATCACATGGTCTAACCAACTAGATGTGCTGGCTCACCGAGCTGTGGGGTGCTTTGTGACTCACTGTGGATGGAATTCGACACTGGAAGGGCTAAGCCTTGGCGTGCCAATGGTGGCGGTGCCGCAGTGGAGCGATCAACCAATGAATGCCAAGTATGTGGAGGAGGTGTGGAAGGTGGCAGTGAGAGCTAGAAAGGATGGAGGAGTTGTGAGAAGAGAAGAGCTTGAGGTGTGCATAAGGGAGGTCATGGTTGGAGAGAGAAGTGACGAGATTAGGAGAAATGTGACCATGTGGAGGGAACTTGCTAAGAGAGCAGTTAGTAGAGGTGGGAGCTCAGATCAGAATGTTAATAAATTTGTGCAAGTGTTGCTAACTGGAGAAAAGGGTAAGCCATCTTGATTGTCATTTTTATGATTCTATCTGATCAAACTTTGCAAAATAGCATTCACAATTCAAAAAACAAGATCAAATTAGCACTTATATTCACTATTTTGATAAGGATGTATAGCCCTTTTAATTTTCAGGCGATTTTTTTTGCGTGTGTGTGTGTGTGTGTGTTGACGAGGAACCTCCCCAAAACATTGGACCCACTCCTGTAGAGTAAACTCAGATAACTACAATCAACCACAAATCATAGGTATAGATAAGCCCACAAGACACTAGCAAGAGTCGAATGCAGGATGTATCAGTTTACAATTCATCCCAGTGTCCAACCCCTTTGCTTCTAGGCTGCCTGTGTGGGTTATTTTCTGATCAACTTCAAAGAATGCCAACTAACTTGAAGCAATATCAGGAAATAGGCATAAATGGGTCATACGATGAGTGCAATATAGCCGTAGTCAGTAGTGGCCCAAGGGTTTTGGAGGCACCTGGCCAACTGTAAAAATAAAGCCCTATGCCCTAAGACCTCTGGACAATTGGGGCCTTTGACAGTATGGGATTTTTGTGTGTGTGTGTGTGTGTGTAGGCAGATAGGGTGCTAACTTGCCTATATGTTGAGCCAGCTCTTGGCCTAAAGCTATATCATGAGACAAATAATTAAGAACTTACACATGCTAGGTCATACTGAAAGTTAGACAACAGAGCAAGAAAGAAATTACCCTGGTTTTAAAGCTTTTTAACAAGTCTGCCCTACCTTAACAACCATGACATTCCTGAACCCCATGAACAACATATGCAAATCCCCCAACCAAACACAGTGTTAGAGTCTTGCTAATAACAATCCTGTCTTTTAGAATCACAAAAGGTTAAAATATTTAAAATCTCAATACACTTTTCACACATCCCAAAATATTTACATATTTTTATTTTAATATGTTTACATATTTTACTTTTAATTAATGCTCTAAATCTTCCATGCATATATACTTAGTAATTTGTGCATTGCTCTGACCCTTTAAAAGCTAGCAAATGCCTTGTTGGGACACTGGCCAGTGGAGATGGTTGGTCCAATGGTGCCATCAATGTTCTTGGACCAACAAATAGAGGGAGACACAAATTATGGAGCCAGTCTCTGGAACCCAATTGGTGACCAATGCTTGGCATGGCTAGACACTAAACCACCCAAATCAGTGGTCTATGTGTCCTTTGGAAGCATGGCACAAATTTCAGCAGAGCAAGTTGAAGAAATAGCATGGGCCTTGAAAGGGGTCAACAAACCCTTCCTATGGGTACTGAAAGAGCCTGAACATGAAAAGTTGCCAACTGAGTTCTCAAACTCAACAGATCAGATGGGCTTAGTCATCGCATGGTCTAACCAACTAGATGTGCTGGCTCACCGAGCCGTGGGGTGCTTTGTGACTCACTGTGGATGGAATTCGACACTGGAAGGGCTAAGCCTTGGCGTGCCAATGGTGGCGGTGCCGCAGTGGAGCGATCAACCAATGAATGCCAAGTATGTGGAGGAGGTGTGGAAGGTGGCAGTGAGAGCTAGAAAGGATGGAGGAGTTGTGAGAAGAGAAGAGCTTGAGGTGTGCATAAGGGAGGTCATGGTTGGAGAGAGAAGTGACGAGATTAGGAGAAATGTGACCATGTGGAGGGAACTTGCTAAGAGAGCAGTTAGTAGAGGTGGGAGCTCAGATCAGAATGTTAATAAATTTGTGCAAGTGTTGCTAACTGGAGAAAAGGGTAAGCCATCTTGATTGTCATTTTTATATTTCTATCTGATCAAACTTTGCAAAATAGCATTCACAATTCAAAAAACAAGATCAAATTAGCACTTATATTCACTATTTTGATAAGGATGTATAGCCCTTTTAATTTTCAGGCGATTTTTTTTGCGTGTGTGTGTGTGTGTGTGTTGACGAGGAACCTCCCCAAAACATTGGACCCACTCCTGTAGAGTAAACTCAGATAACTACAATCAACCCCAAATCATAGGTATAGATAAGCCCACAAGACACTAGCAAGAGTCGAATGCAGGATGTATCAGTTTACAATTCATCCCAGTGTCCAACCCCTTTGCTTCTAGGCTGCCTGTGTGGGTTATTTTCTGATCAACTTCAAAGAATGCCAACTAACTTGAAGCAATATCAGGAAATAGGCATAAATGGGTCATACGATGAGTGCAATATAGCCGTAGTCAGTAGTGGCCCAAGGGTTTTGGAGGCACCTGGCCAACTGTAAAAATAAAGCCCTATGCCCTAAGACCTCTGGACAATTGGGGCCTTTGACAGTATGGGATTTTTGTGTGTGTGTGTGTGTGTGTAGGCAGATAAGGTGCTAACTTGCCTATATGTTGAGCCAGCTCTTGCCCTAAGCTATATCATGAGACAAATAATTAAGAACTTACACATGCTAGGTCATACTGAAAGTTAGACAACAGAGCAAGAAAGAAATTACCCTGGTTTTAAAGCTTTTTAACAAGTCTGCCCTACCTTAACAACCATGACATTCCTGAACCCCATGAACAACATATGCTGAACCAGTTGGACAGCTGTGCCTTAAAGAGTTGTGTCACTGCTGAATATTTCAGCCACAAGATGCCTAGATGGGAGGCTTTGAAACTGTGAAACAAAAGCCCACTGTTCTCTCCCTTGTCAAGCAAGACTATAAGAGAACTTCCTTAGTCCTCACACATACCAGCTAAACAAATAAATTTATCCTAAAGAAGAGTTCTAATGAAAGACTTTCCAACTCAATTCCTCTTCAACTGTTTGTTGAGTTTGCTATAAATTTTGGTCAGAGAGAAAATTGGAGCCTTAACTAGATGACTTTTCAATACCTACCAACTTTTTTTCCTTTTTGTCTTTTTTTGCACTTGGTCGGAGATCAAGTATGAAAGAAATTACACAAACTAGACACTTATAGTCCAACAATACATAATTAAAAGCCCAACCACCACCGAAATACATCATAATGGAAGGAAATAAACAACTTAATACAAAAAATCAACAAAAAACCTTCATAATAAGAGAGAAATAATAAATCTTTGTCTTTTTGGCAAGGATTGACCACCTGACGTACCTATTCTAGTCTTGGCGTGTATTTGTTCTAGTAATTAGTGATATATTACTTCAATTTATATAGCTTTGTTAGGGAGGTACTTGTCACTGCATGGTATTATAGAATGTTCAATTATGCATACATACAAACTAGACTTGACGATCCAATACAATGTAATTGTCCCTGTCATGATAAATAATATCATTACGTCTAGGGGCAACCAAAGAGAGAGAGAGAGAGAGAAATAAAAGGATGGGGCGGAATAAAATGGTAAGTATTGCAACCAAGGTTTTAAAAAGCGGCCGCAACCATTACGTAACGGTTGTGATGGTTACCGCTATCCGTTATGGCCGCTTTTGTAGTGTGATTGAGATTCACAGGTGTGTCGGGAGTGTCGGCTACCGTAGCGGTTGAACAGTGTCGTAACAGTCGTAACGGCCTGTTACGCACTGTTATGTAACGGTTCCGAACTGCTTCTTTTGAAAAAAACACACAAAAAAAAAGCTAAAAATAAGGGAAGAGGGATAGAGAGAAGAGGGAAGATGAAGAGAGAAAATGGAGGAGCAAGAGATAGTGAGAGAGAAGATAAAGAACATGTTATTGATTTGTTGAAACTGTAAGACCTATGCTATTCTATTCAGCTGCTGTCATTCAACTATTTTGTTTGTTTGTGTGTGTCTATCTATATATTTTTTGAAAATAATAATAATAATAAGTGTAGTCATTCTCTATTTGGCTTGGTTAAAATATGTATATATATATATTTAGGCTCTTATTTATTTTCTTACTTTTGTCATTGTTTATCTTATATATAATAATTAGTGATTGATTTTTTGTATAATATAAAGTCATTAATTATTAAAATAAAATGTAAAAAACTCAGTTTATAGTGATTTAAAAATATGAAACATATTGGATCATACTTAAAAATTTACAAAAATTGATCAATGTTTATTTTAAACCCAATAAATATGATCATAAAAATATATATATATATATATATATATGCGTATCGGTAAATTTTTTCAAATTGTGCGAAAAATAAAAAAAAAAATCACGGTTTCGATTACTGCAACCGTTACGCTACGACCTTTACACTCTGCAATCGCAATCGCAACCGCGCCACCACCACCACCACCGCCACTGCCACCGCCACCGCCATCGTTACGGCAACCGCAACCGCTTTTCAAAACCTTGACTGCAACATTCAAACTGCCAAGCAAGAGGAATGAAACTGTGAAAATCAGGAGACAAAGGATGGGAATACTTGCATTGACCAAAGATTTGGAACACATATTGAGAAGTTATTTGGTGGTTTAAGAGCAATGATCCACGACACTTGACATTTTTCAAGTTATCTCTTACAATCCTAACAAAAAATAGGTCCCACAATTTCAACCAATAACATCAAGTTGGGACACCATGTGATAATGCCCCAAGACCACCACATAATGTTTCACACAGAAGGCCTATGTCAATGGGTCAAGCTGAGTACTGATGAGTCTGCTATGGGAAATTCAGGACTTTGATGGGGAAGGGGCATATTTGGGAATTACTGCAACATATGGATCGGGCACTGTCATAAGGAATCTGAACGACTTTTTACATGTTGACTGTGGCTACTTAACACACAACCCTCCTCCTTTACCCGGGCTTGGGACCAGCGGGGTTGTTAACCACCCCGGCAGAGTTAAACGAATACCCATTAGACTAAAAGGTAAGTTCTATAGAACGGCTATTAGACCAACAATGTATGGGACGGAATGTTGGACAACCAAGAAACAAAATGTAGATAAAATGAGTGTTGTTGAGATGATGATGTTAAGATAGATGTGTGGCAAGATTAGACAAGACAAAATTAGGAATAAGTGTATTCGGGAATGGGTGAGAGTAGCACCGGTAGAAGATAAATTGAGAGATAATCGATTGAGATGGTTTGGTCATATTCAACGGAGACCAACAGAGGCAGTAGTGAAGAGATGCGATGCAGTGACGGTAGATGGAAGTATTAGGGGACTGGGTAGGCTTAGATTAACGTTGGCTAGCATTGTAAATGGAGATATGGATCTACTTAATTTGACTAACGAAATAGCCTTTGATAGAGCCGTGTGGAGAAGAAGGATTAATGTAGCCACTCCCATTTGATGAGACTCCAGACTTGATTTGGTTTGGTTTTTTATATGGATTGGACACTAGAGAGGAAAGTACTAATGCTAGTTAGTTAGGGTCCACAAGAAATAATGCTAGGTATAATAATGTTACATACACAGAAAAATCACTAAAAGGTGCACAAAAAAAATCAATGGATGGCCTAAATTCATTAAACAAATCACAGGTACATACATACATGGTATATGGATAAAAATCTTCTATCTATTTATAGTGAACAATGCAAAAGATAGAGGGAAAGAAAATGTAAATTTAAAGATTTGCATACAACCATAAAAATGGTTTCCAAATGAAGCACAGAACAACTGTCTACGCTGGTGTTAAACCGGTTGTGAGGCAGTAAACTATGAGTTTCACCTGGAAATGAAAAGTTAAGGGGTTGTTTGTTAATGTTTTTGTTTCTTGTTAAAACTGAAAACAAAAATTTGTTCGTATATTGTTTTCGTTTTCAAAAAAATGAAATTGATTTCAAAGTTTTAAAAAAATTTAAAAATGCAAAAAAAATTGTTTTCACTTGTTTTTAAAACAAGCCTTCGGCCACCACCGACCACCGCCACCCCCATCGTCCACCGACCGCCATCACCCGGTGGGTGGCGAGCTCCGGCCAACCTTCAGCGACTCTCCAGTGGGTGGGCCAGTCATTGTCGTCATCTTAAGCCACCTTTCAGCGTCCTTCCAGCCACCTCATGTCCTCCGACGATATCCGATCACTAACTCCGGCGGACAACCTACCCACCACTGCCGGTCACCACATCCGTCTACACTCCATCTCCGGTCACCAAATCCAGCAACTCAGCAACTCATGAAATATATTTCTCTATTTTTGTATTTTTGTTTCAGCAACTCATGAAATATTTTTGTTTTTTACAAAAATAAACCAAAACTCGTTTCTTGTTTTTTGTAAACTAAAAATTGAAAGCCTTAACAAATGAGGCTTGACAGAATAACTCCATGATAAAATAAAATTATTCAGAACCCAAAAACAAGGATGCACATAACAGTGAGAGAACACAAAATATAACGCATTTTGAACCCACAAAACATTGTCAAAGAGAAAATCATCAAAGCCATACGCGATGGTAGAATTGTTGCTGGAAAAATGAGAGCTTACTGGAACTGCCTAGCCTTGGTGTTCATGTTGGAGTAGGAAATTGAAATAATTAGATATGGGAATTTTTTTATTTTTTTTTAAATGTTTGCCACAGAATGAATAGTTACTTTGCCGAAAATAGTTATCAGAGTTCTGACAAAGCTTGTGCATTATATAGGATTTGCAACTAAAAGCTTCAAATTCCTCTCATAACAAAATAACAAAACTTAACCAAACAAGTATCTTACTTATTTCCTGGGCAAGCCGTGCAGCAATAGCATAGACCATTTGGGATGTGACTCTCATTTGCAATTAACCAAATACGCATCCCATCCCTGAAGCCGGTACTCCCGAGCAGCCTCAGCAGGATTCACAGCCTTTATAATTCCACGACCAACGATTATAATATCGCTACCTCTATCGGAAATCACAGAGTAAGGGGTGTCATATTGCTGGCCCAGAGCATCACCGCCTTTCACCATTTGAACCCCGGGTGTAGCATGAATAAATGCTGGATTTCCCGGTCCACCTGGCCACGATGCCGGATTAACAGAGATGAATCCAATCACAAAATCCGAATGTTCCTCGGCAATTTTCACAGCTGCAGCTGTGTAATCTCCCGTGGCGAGGTTACCCGCCGAACTCATTTCAGCCAGCAGCAAAAGACCCCTACCCCGAGGCAAACCCTTCAGTTTTAGACCATCAACAATTCCAGGGCCTGAGATTATGTGAGCATTAACTATATCTGCCCAATCCAGTATCCGAAAAATGCCACTTTCATATTGCATTGTAACAGTGTTACCAATATCGGCAAATTTTCGATCTTCGAATATCAGAAAATTGTGTCTTTCTGCAATTGATCGAAGTTTAGACCCAAAATCTGGGGTGAAATCAGGCAATATATCGACATGAGTTTTCAACATGCAAATCTCTTGTCCAACTTTGTCCGCAAGATCGAGCAATTCTGAAGCAGTGTTAACATCAGCAGCCAAACACAAATTACTCTCCTTTTTCACCATCACTTCAAACAACCTCTTTCCAGTTGGATTCTTCGTAATCTTCGCTCTCTCCCCAAACGAAACCCTAAACCTAGGAGGAGGAGCTGCCGCAGGCGCCGGCACAGCTACCTTCCGATTCTCCTCGAGAAACTTAAACACCATACCCTCAGTCTCCTCCGAAACCCTACCTTTGTCCTTCAAAATCCTCACCATCTCGGTCAATTTCACCATCGCGTGAAGCGCGATACCATTGTCGGCTAGGTTTTCTCTCCCGCCTTGTTCGCGATCGATCATGACGACAACGTCGGTGACCTTGATCCCGGCGGCGCGGAGAGGAGCGGCGGTTTCGAGGACGGAGGCGCCGCTGGTAACGAGATCTTCGACGACGAGGCAGATCTGGCCGGGGGAGAAGGAGCCTTCGATGGCTTTGGAAGTGCCGTAGTCTTTGATTTCTTTGCGGCGCATGAGCATGGGGATTTTGGAGGAGGTGGAGATGCAGGTGGCGATGGGAAGGGCGGTGTAGGGGACGCCGCAGAGGAGGTCGAAGGAGGTGGTGGAAGGTAGGGAGGAGATTAGGGTTTGGGAGATTTGGAGGAGGAGAGTCGGGTAGGAGACGATGAGGCGGAGATCGATGTAGATTGGGGAGGAGATGCCGGATTTCAGCTTGAAGTTGCCGAACTTCACGGCGGAGATGTCGTGGAGTTGCAGAATCAGTGACTCCATTGTTGGTGATGATGCCATTTCTCTCTCTTTTTCTGTCTCTATAGAACTGCGAGTTGTGTGGAGTGGAGTGGTAGTGGTGAGGCCATGCCGATCTGCGAGTTCGGCTAGTGGTATATATATGTACCTATCTCTTGTCCCGTTTCTTTTCAGACATTGGTGTGTTGTTAATGACAGAACTATTACTGAAGGAGTTAATAAAGGTTGTATTTGTTTGATAATTAATATATTAGTAATAATTTTTATTTGTTTTGAGAGATAAAAATAGAATTAATCCTATAAAATTTCACAAATAAAGACTTGATAGAGAGGAAAAAGAAAAAGTAGAGCCATAGAAAATTATAGAGCAAAATTCACTTTAATATGTGATTTTGTCTTGAAGTACTTTATTTTTTATAATTCAAATATAGATAAGGAATTTTTTATGACTTTGAATTAAACTGTAAAGCTAATTCAGTTAAAAGTGAAAGAAAAATTATCTAAATATTCCTATGACATATTTTTGGAAAAATTAGTTTAAAGTCTTTATCCTATTTTTTGTAATAGAAGAGATCCACAATATTATTTTATAATGTCTAACGTCCCTCAACGCAACACCCATATATCACAGAGAAACATCAATGCTCTGTTGATTTTTTCTTTTTCTTTTCTTTTTTTTCTTTTTTTTTTGGAGTCGAAGATCGCAATTTTGATTCGTCGAAAATGGTATGATTGATTATCATACATGTTCGTTGTTATCAATGAATTAGATTAGATGGACAATACATAAGATTTTTGTTATATCGAGGGAGATGATGAAGATAAAGGAAAAGGAAAAAGATGATTTAGGTTGCAAGTCTTCAACATCGTACTGATTGTTTGGTAGGCAAACGTCAATTCATCAAATGATAGGTGGAGGTAAATGTGAGATTGATTGGTTTTTATGAATAATGAAGACAAAAGCTCCTTGACCTATTCTCAGTTGCAAATAGTTTTCTTGCATTCTAGTCACATTCACACCTAAAGATGGGTTTAATGCTTCGCGATTCACCAAATTAAAAACCTGGAACAAGAGAACCAGAAGCAATAAAAATAAAGTATTTAGAAGTGTGAAGGGCATAGAAAAGCAAGGAACATACCTACTCATCAAAGATTGCATGATGAAACTAGAGAAATTTGGTGTTAGAGATGGATAAAAAAATTTCTGTGATGTGCCTAGAGAAATTTGGTGTTGGTGATGTGTAAAATTTTCTCTGTGATGTGTCCAAAGAAATATGGTATTGGAGATGTGTAAAATTTTCTCTGTGATGTGTCTAGAGAAATTTGGTGTTGTGATGTGTAAAATTTTCTCTATGATGTATCTAGAGAAATTTGGTGTTGGTGATGTGTCCAGAGAATTTTGGTGTTGGAGATGTGTAAATTTTTATCTGTAATGTGTTTAGAGAAATTTTTCCATGATGTATAAAATTTTCTCTAGATCGAATTTTTTCTAGATCGATGTTAAGGGATCTTAACCATTATGAAAATATTAAATGTTCTTTATGCTATAAAATTTTAATACCAGGGATCTTAAAAAAAATCCCCCTATATTCTTTTGGTCTCTTCTCTAATATTAATAACATATTTAACAAATAAAATTGGGACACTTTTTCATAAATCCCTAAGTAGCTGCTTGCTCGACTCTCAATATATCCATGGACTTCCTAAAAGCCCTAGCCATCTCCCAAGCTAAAGCCCCCATCGCATCTTGGGCGGTGATGCGACCACATTGTTCTGAACCACTCTTTCTTCTTGTGGAGTGATCTCCAGTTGGGCTGGAACATTCCAACCATCCCGGCAAGGCCTGCCACAACCTCTAACATGTCCAAACATCCTATAAGAAATAAAGATAAAATTTTAAATTTGGGACTCACAATCTCACACTTAATCTCACTCGTCATAAACGAGCCAATATGAAACCACATATACACCTAAGTCACATTAAATCATCCACATAAGCACCTTATCACATAGAGCATATATGAATCACTCATCTAAGATATTAACCTATTCCAACCACGGTACTCAAAGACTTTCAAGTGGAAAAAGCATTAATTAAGTGCCTTTCCAAATGGAATTTGATAAGTGCAATGAACACAAGTCATATCCTAGAAGTTTGATCACATACCCACATAGCCAAATAAACACAATCATATAACAATTAACATTCCTTCCTAGTATGGCAAGCCCATTATAGCGCAAGCCACTTCTTACGAACTCAAGATATTCAAACCTGGTTAGACCTAATACCAATTTGTAACGCTTCAAATTTAATAGAAATAAAATATCATCAAAATAATATAAATCTACGATATAAACACAATTAATAGAGACTTTAGCTCAAAAGTCCTATTTCTCATTGAACTATAGTTTTCATTTACAATTTCCACATTCGACTATCAAATACATCTTTATAAAGTATAGCTCAAAAAGTTAGATGATACAAATAAGATGCTTTAATGGCCTACAATTTAGCAAGGCGTGGCCTTGTTACAACAAAAGAAAAATGGACACATAGTTCTAAACAAGTATGCTCTAAGCTTCCACATTTAAACATCCGTAAACCTTTGTGCTCCAATCAAAAACAAAAGAGCCTACTTCATCCTCATTGAAATGGTTGCACATCACTAATTCCTAAATGGAAATACTTTTAAAAGAGTATTTAATTGATCGAAATCCATGTGACATCATCATAACCAAAAGACAAGCATTTGCAACTCAAGTTGGAAATTTAAACAATGAATCAAAAGCATCTTGTGTAATAACCCACATTTATGTCGTAGTCATGTTCATGAACATTGGTATGATTATGACCCGTTAAGCTTGCATTTGCATAATTATGATTTGTTTTGCCTAAGTAAGAACCATGCCTATTTTGATGTCTATGTGATTTGTCTAAGTGTTGTGTGCTTGCTTTGTTCCTTCCTTGGTACCCCGAGCCTAAGTTATGTTTAGCCGAAGTCGTGCCAAGCCTAGGTTATGTTAAGCATAGATCATTCCAAGCCGAGGTCATCTTCAGTCTAGAAGTATCTTGGAACCCCTTCGTTTGACCTCCACCTTCTCCCTAACATATTAACCGAGATGGCATTATCTCGGCCGAGGTGTGAGTCACCAAGGCCGAGATGTGTATCATCTAGGCCGAGATGTTACCTTTGCACCTGAGTGATCTTGTCCTGGAGTAGTATGACCTAGACCGAGGTGTGGCACATCTAGGCCAAGGTGTGGCACAGCTTAGTCAAGTGTCGTCCTTCCTAGCCAAGGTCATTGTCACCTAGACCTCACACTTAGGCCAAGCATCGTATCTCACCTTGGCCTACCTTGCATGATCACTTACACCTTTAGTTGTCTTGTGCGCACCTCGGCATGCAGCCGCATGCCGAAGCCTAGGTAGCCACACCTCAGCCAGGAGGTGTGGGACCTCGGCAAAGACCTGGTTGGTACCCAGCATGTCTTCCTGATATGTAAGATAGTGTTTTGACTTCCAGCATATTTTTCCGAGATCATTTGCATGCATGTGAGACCTGTTTTGAGAAGTGCATTCAGTATGCTTTGTCATGTGTTTGTAGGACCTGGACCCTTGCCTTGGTCCCGACGTCCCAAGAACTAATGTGAGTGGTATTTTTAATAAAGTTATGTTCTTAAGGTTTTGACAAAGCTTTGCCTTGTTTTGATAAAAGTATTTGTTAAGCATGAATAATATCCCTATTTTATGTATCAAGTATAAGCTTTGTTTTGGATGACATTCTTGGAACTGTCCTTTCGTGTTAGAGGACGTTAAGCCTAAGTAACGCCGTCCTTTCGTGTTAGGGGACGTTAAGCCTATGTAGCACAGTCCTTCCGTGCTAGGGGACTTTAAGCCTAGGTAGCACCGTCCTTTCGTGCTAGGGGACGTTAAGCCTAAGTAGCACCCTTATTAAGATATCGGGCGCCAACATACTATGAACGGATGCGCTCGATGTCGAGGTTATGTTATAAGATTTGATGTATGTTAAGTATGTAAGTTTTGTAAGATCAAGTTTGATGAACAAGATTTATCTCATGTTTTGTACAAGCTATGATAAGTATGGTTTTGACACGGATATAATATGTATTGTTTTGAAAGGATCTCGGGTATCATTCATTTAACCCCTTTATTACTTGTACATAAGCTTTGTTTTGGATGACATTCTTGGAACCGTCCTTTCGTGTTAGGGGACGTTAAGCCTATGTAGCACAGTCCTTCCGTGCTAGGGGACTTTAAGCCTAGGTAGCACCGTCCTTTCGTGCTAGGGGACGTTAAGCCTAAGTAGCACCCTTATTAAGATATCGGGCGCCAACATACTATGAACGGATGCGCTCGATGTCGAGGTTATGTTATAAGATTTGATGTATGTTAAGTATGTAAGTTTTGTAAGATCAAGTTTGATGAACAAGATTTATCTCATGTTTTGTACAAGCTATGATAAGTATGGTTTTGACACGGATATAATATGTATTGTTTTGAAAGGATCTCGGGTATCATTCATTTAACCCCTTTATTACTTGTACCATTCACTGAGTATCCAAGTTCACCCTCTCTATGTATGTATGTAGGTAACAAGCAAGAAGTCGGCTTCGCCGAGATGTGTGTTTTGTATGCATGTTATGTCGGCTGTAAGGATGTCGGCAATTCCGAAGATTATGTTCCATAATTTGTAACTCAAGTGTTTTGTATATGTCAGCAATTTTGATGCTTATGTATTTCGAATATGTCGGCTTGTAAAGCCTTTTGTTAAGATGTAATATGTATTTTGTATTTTATTTTATTTGTATTCAAGTTGTAAAGCTATGTAAAGATGTATGCCATTCCATTTGACTTATGCACTGCTCTTATGGACCACTTGTATTTTAGATTATTGCTTCCGCATTTGTGAGTCCCCTATAGCTATACTCTGATTGTGTGTGAATTTTGAAAGTTGGCCTTCAGTAATCTCGGATTACTGGCCATCACGGCACCAAACTACTAGGGGCGGTTTGGGGTCGTGACATCTTGCTTCTATAGAAAGAAGATCACATTCTGACACCACGGGTAAATACACCATGAGTCCCTAATGAGAGTTCGAAAACATACATATGCATCGGTTTGTATCCAAAACTATCCCCACATTTGCCAGCTATTAATATGGCAGGAAATAGGCACCTAAAATTATTCGTTTTTCCACTTTTATTGACTATAATATGGTAGGACTAGTAGACAATCAAAAATATTTCCTACATTCATTCGGCGATAAGCTCAAGACAGAACAATTGGGCACCTAGGAATCCCCACGCAGGTACCAACACAACCCTTTTCCTAACACTGCCTTTTCACTTAGACTCACCTGCTATTTACCACCCAATTTTTAAACAATCTTCTCAAAGCCTTCAAGTACTCATGCATTCATGAAAATAAAGATAACCTTTCACTATTCAAGAAATTGTGACAATTATAACATGAACATTCTTAAAGTAATCTCAATCAAATCTCAAGAACATTCCAACTTCACAATTCTCCATTCAAATATTACTTCAACATCATAACCCAACCATCAATTTAAAGAATTAAGAATCAATTTCATTTCATAACATTACTTCTGATTTTTTAAGACTTAGGGTTTTCATAAAATTTGGGTTAGTAATTTTCATATAAAACTTCCATAATCAAAAGCTAATAGTAAGAATCTTGAGATAATTGTAGAAAAATATTTATTTTTAGAAAAAAAAACTTTAATTTACAAACTCAAACATTCATCCATTCATCAATGTCATCACAAAACCACATAAATAACTTCAAATCAAAGAGATACAAGATTAAAAATAATCATACTCAAATATTAAAGCAAAGAAGCTAGCCTAAAGATGAATGCCTTAAAAAAAAATGAAATCCAATCGGTGGAAAAGTTTGATCTTCACCCAAACTCCAACTTTTGTAAGGAAAAAGGTTGCAAATCTAAGCCAAATGAAAGATTTCTAGAGAGATGAATTTAGGGTTTTTGGAGCTAGAGAGAGAAAGAAGAAAGAAAAGAAACAGTGAGGAAAATGATCTAAAAAGTGACTTTTTAAGTTGTTGAAATCGTGCAGATTGCTCGAATGGTCTTTTCATCGCATGAGCGGTAAATGAAATCTCTCAATATCTTTGTCTACAAACCAAGATACTGAGGAACCTATCTTCATCGCTCGAGCGACCACTTTATCATTCGAGTGGTCTCTCGACTTGCGAAGCTAACTACTGGGAGCCTCTCATCTCTGCTCGAGTAGTATATTCACCGCTCGAGTGGTCACTTGGGATGAATTGTTACAATCCCTCACAAGTCTAACCCTAACCCTAACCCTAATCCCACCACCACTTCCACTACCGATGGCAGCCTCTGACGACCAATACACCTCCTTTATTTTCCTCATTTCGCAAGCCTCTCACTGCCACCTACATAACCCCACCTCGGCATTGTAACTCAACTTCCTCATTCGCTACCCCATTATGGATAGCACCATCGCTTCGTTGCGAATAGTCTCATCACCGCTCACTTTCACGATTTGACCCCTCCGCACTCTTCTTCTTCTTCTTTATTTTTCTAGATCTCTTTTTCGCTTATGCTTTTTCTTCCAAATGTGTAGAGATCTAGACTAGGCTTCACTATCTCACTCTCTCATTTATAGTAGAGGTTGGTGACTAGTAGTGAGGGTGGGGAAGGTGTGGTCGATAGTGGTGGTGGGTGGGGATGGAATTAGGGTTAGGGTTTCTAGAGAAGAAGAAAAAAGATGATGGAGGTGTAGCAGTGACGGTAGGTAGTGGGTAGTGATGGCAGCGGTGCAGTAGTAGAAAGAAAGAGGAGGAGGCTGCAATGATGGCGGTGGTTAAGGGTGATGGTGGTGCTGCGATGATGGAAAATACGGTGGCTGAAGTGGGAAAACATGTTGGGAATGAGAGTTGCCGGAGAAGGAAGGTCTGCATAGAAAATGGGTAAAGTTGGAAATATATTGAGAGTCCAAAAAAATGAAAATGGAGAGCACTTTTAAAAAGTAGGAGACTAAATAAATGGAAGATTCATGCTCAAAAAATAAATAAATAAAATAAAAAATAAATAAATAGAAGATTCAAAATAAAAAAGTAAAAATATTTAAGATTAATTACCAAAAAGTCCTATCTACATATTTGGTGGTAGCTTAGGTCCTGTCAAAACGTTTTTGAACCATTAAGTCCCATTTATAGGTAAAAAGACATTTAGCCCTTTAATCCCAAAACTGAGAATGTTCTCAATTTATAATTATCAAAACTAAAAAATTTCTCAATTTTTTTTCTAGTATGAACTAAGAATATTATCAAAACTAAGAAATTTATAATTATCAATTTTGAGAATTTTCTTATTTTTTTTCATGATTAAAATTGAGAATATTATAAACTGAAAATGTTCTCAATTTCAAATTAGAATTCAGAAGAATAATGTAGTCGAGCACGTGTTTCAAACCCTCTGCAAACAGTCTCTCTCTCTCTCTCCCAATTTCAGGCATCCGAACTCCAATCCTTGAGAGTGTGAGCAATCAGCAAACGTTGGTGTCCTTCAATGAGCTCTAATCTCCACTTCTCATTAGGGCTTCGATATCATTCTGGTCAGTGGAGCAGACTCCCTCACTCTCCCTCAGTTACGGGAAGGAGATCTGACGCAGCAGTGGTTCTTTCTGATTCAGCCCCCAACGCCGCCGCCGCCGTAAGGGCTTCTCCCCGCCCTCGGCAACCAAACTACAACGCCTCTCGTGTTCAGGTTTGCATACATATATGTAATATGTGTGTGTATATATATATATGTATGCTTCAATTTGTCATATCTAACTTGTATGTAAGTGTATAGACTCTGTTGTTTTTATTAGGTTCAATTGTGTTTCTATTAACAATGATGTTTGGCAGCTATGAGGAGGTCTTGGAAGAATAAATTGAGCTATTAAAAATTAATGGGACTTGAAGAAGCAAATAATTTTATTTAGGACTTAATGGATTATAAGTTTACAAAATGGGACTTGTATATAAATGCCCCAAATATTTAGCAGTCGTTTTTTTTTTTCCCTTTAATTTTGACACTCATAAAATTAAAATTATGACATCATTTCACCAGTATCATTAGCCCAAAAAAAACGGCCCAACTTTTTTAAAGATTGTCCCCGGTTGGCTACGGTTCAGGCTCTATATAGCTCACCTCGAATTTATTTCTACCGTTTGAATTATTCATTTCTTAAAATATATTGAGTTGATTATTTATATAAAGGATTAAATGGATTAAATATTAATAATTATTTTATTTAATTATATTTTTCTAAAAAATAATAAATAGACAATATTATTTTAGATAATGTTCACCTATTTTCTTTAGATAAATGTGTTCCAACTTCCAATCAAATGAACATAGATTAATTTGATTTAACATGAATAGTTTACCGACAAACTCTACAAAATTATGATTCAATCCATCAATATAGGCTAACATTAGTCCGGAGTGTGAGTAATTTTTATATACAGATAGAGTATATATCATATGGTATATTCTATTATTTTGATTAATTTTGACAATACGATTTATTACATTTATGTTAGGTGTTTAAAAAACAATAAATGATATATACATTTGTGATTGATGAAAAATAATGTCACGTAATACTCTATTGACATATAAAAAAATTTCAGTGAGCAATTTAGCTTGGTTGCCTAGAGTGTGTATATCATCACTTCAGTGGGCGAGGAAGACGAGAATCACGATCATGTTGTCGTCGTCCTCTTCAAGGTGAATATATGAAACTTTTGCCATTGATAAAAACAAAAGCTTATTTATTGACACGATGTGATCCTTGGCTCTTATGTAATCTCTATTTTAGTTTATAGGTGGTGTTATTGGATTGGAAATCTGGTGAGATCCGTGTAAATCATGTTTGTTTTATAAAAAAAAGATTTGATTTCTTTCCAGTTAAATTTTTAATTGCACTAGACAATTGATATTTCTGGACTTTTATCGGTAAGAAACCTCAATATTTAGATCAATTGAAAGTTCAACGGGAGAGAAACTATTCCCTATAAATAATTTTATAAAGCTAAGGTCATATTTATTTGTTGGGCTAGGTTAGGTACTATCATGTGTTATTTCGTGTAATTTATTATAAGTTAAAAAGATAATTATTCAAAATAAAAAGTGAGAAACACTTCTTACATAGTTTTTAAATCAACTTTTTTTCAATTTATTAAAGAAAATTATTTTTCTTTAAGAAGATATAAGCAAAGGATGTATCACACAATCTGATACAAACTTTAAAAAAAAAAAAAAGTATGAGTACGGTTTGATTAAGTAAAGAGATTATTAATATGGTGATATTAGATTGCAGTTATAAGATAAATTATATTTATTTGAACATTATTGTAATAATATTAATTGATTACAATAATATGAAATTACATAAAACTATCATTATATAAAAAATACTTTTGTTGCTTTTGTAAAGAGAATGACAAAATATTATTTTCACCTATAGTCATATTGGATTGGATTATCAATCCCACATCTCCCATGAGATTGTTAGTCCCTTCATTAGAGGGTATTCATATAGCATTTGTTCCGAACAAAAATAAATTTTGTAGGACATATGAATCACTATCCAATTCTCCCTCCCTACACCTTTAAACAAACATGGCTTACGGGGGGATTAGGATTTACAGTCTAATTTTATGGTCTTGGAGATGAAAATATCATTTTATCTATCCATTTAAATTAAAAAATGGGGAGAACAAATTTAAAATGGGAATAGATAAATTTATAAGTCCATTTTCAAATGAAAAATGGGACAGATAGATCTATCTGTCCAT